TTGTGAATTAGGGGAATAATTTGCAAATGTAAGTTAAGACAACATGCTAGATAATGAACCTTTAATTTTTTTACTGTTATGTTTGAATGATTAATCTAATCATTTTAGTAAAAATACGAATAGCTCTAGCCGGTCCAATTGTCACACGAATATAATTTATTTTTAAATTCAGTGAATAATTTTAAATATATGTTGAAATATGGATTTGAAATGTGTCTTCAAATTTCTAGTAGGACATATTTAATTTCAAAAAAAAAAATTTTATTTTCATTTATAATTTCTATTCGAAATTTGGAGTCCTATAAATCAGAAAATTTCCACATAAATCCATTACTTAGAGTAGTCCCCGTTAGTCAAGGGTGCTATGTGGGGGTTAGGTACATAACTAGTTTTATAATAATCTGAAGAAAGTCGTTGTTTTAGGTTCAACCAGCATTTCATACCGCTCAAGCTTAGTGTGAAATTTAAATCTAACATTGCTCTATTTGTTTTGTGATTGCACTTTTCTTTCCCCTTTGTAAGAATTTAATATGATTTTGCTTAGCCACAATTATGTCTACCCATAATGGCATAATATTAACAAATACAGAAAGTTGCCAACTAACATTGAGAGTGGTTGGAAGTATAATAGATTCCATACTTTGCTGGAAAGATTATAAAAGGTGAAGAAAGACGTACGGTAAAGTCAATAATCATGACACCCAACTGCTTGCGGTACCCAACTTCATGTGAGGCAGTAAACATTTCAAAAACTTTTCTTTATACCTCCACCTTATGTACCTTGCATTTCATGATCTAAACTTTATCTATTGTATATTTTCAAATCCTAAGAAGAAGCCTACTTGCATCCCATAAGATGATTTAACATTGGATCTAATTGTTATTTTACTGTGTCACTACCATGATTTGAGTATTCACTATTCTCACTTGCACAAAAAAATTTGTACATCACAGGTTTTGTCACATAAGAAAATCTGTGTCCTATTAAAATAGGCTTTATAGATACTCAAATAAAGGGACAGTGCAACTGTTGGATGTTATTCGACAAGTATTCCATATGAATTTTTATCGAATGACACAAACAGTGTACTGTCAGACAGTGATATGTTTTAATAAAGCATATTTATCAAATGACACACGTTATGTATCATTATGGATGTTGGCATGGTTATGTGTTTTTCAAAAACTCATATGATCTATCCATTTTCAATGGAATCATTCTAACACTTGAAGTATTTACACTGGGTACACATGATGTTTACACATTAAGCTACAATTCTTAATGAAAAATATTGTCCTGCCATTTTTAGGTGCAAAGAGGCACATTGCAAGCATCAGGCACATTTCCTGCTGACAGACATTTGATTGAATTGTGGGTGGGCATCAGGTTCTCAGAAACTTGACAAAACAGCTTCTCCCCGTAATGCCACTTTCACTGGTAGGAAATCCCAAAATGTTGGAATCTACTATGAGGACATCACCTTCCGTAACATCCTATTCCATTCAAGCTATCGCGGAGGAGGTCTCTTTGTCATCAATTCAGCTAGAATCCGCATAAACAACTGCTTCTTCATCCACTTCACCACAGAAGGAATCCTAGGCCATGAGACCTACATATCAAGCTCCTTCCTCGGACAACATTCAACAGTCGGTGGTGACTCTGGTGAGAGAGGCTTTCCGGCACTGCCATTGATCTTGCCAGCAACGACAATGCAGTCACTGACGTTGCCATCTTCTCAGCAGCAACTGGGATTGTCCTAAGAGGTCAGGCCAATATGGTCACTGGGGTACATTGTTACAACAAGGCCACATATTTTGGTTGTGTGGGCGTTTTAGTAAAAGCAGCACAGACTAGAATAGACAATTGCTACTTGGATTACAATGCTATAGTGATTGAAGACCCTTCTCAAGTTCATTTCACTAATGGGTTTTTTCTAGGAGACGGTAATGTCGTGTTAAAAGTCCATTAAAGGCACAATTTCTGGATTGAATGTAGTGAATAACATGTTTTGTGGGGATCCAAAAAATATGATACCAATGGTCAAATTAGATGGGCAATTCACAAACATTGATCAAGTGGTGATTGATCACAACAATGTGAATGGCATGAGCTTGAAATCAACGGTGGGGAAGCTAACCGTGCCTGGAAGTGGGACACTGTGGGTGGCTGATTTTCATCAGTTTTGGTGTTCCCTAACCAGATAAATCATGTTCAGTATTCATTGTATACAACACAAGGGGTTGTGGGGCTTCCGGGGCATGCAGTGACCAATGTGACTAACAATGTGGTGGTTGTTGAGAGTGAGAAAGCCATTAATGGGGGTGGTTTCTATGGCTGCTTATCGGCATAACATGGTGGGAGAGGGAATATTTCTCATGTGAAAAACAGACTTCATTGCTTTTTGTCAATTTTGGTTTCATTTGATTTGTCAATTTTGTTTCTATTTAAAATGTTAATAAGAGAATATTTTCTGTTATTGGTGAAGCATGGTTCTTTTTTTCATCATGTTGTTTTGATTATTTTCTTCATATTGGTTGTATAATTTTAGTTATATTTATTCATCTACTTATTTATTTTATCGACTAATTCTACAAAGTTCATTGTTATTTTATTCAAATAATGTCAAAGACTAAAGAGTCCAGTTTTATAGATTTTTGAAAACAAGATTTTGTTTTATGAGAATAGGAAATTATGACAATATCTTAAAAATACTTTTTGAAAACTATGTTGAGGAGTGCTAAACACAGTCACACAACTTATTGCTTAAAAAATAAGTTGTAATTAATGTTTCTTTCCTATTTTTTTGGAATTATAAAACTTCAACTTTAAGACCAAATTATTCTTTTAAATTATTTCCTCTTTCTTTATACCTAATAACCTTCCTTCTTTCCTTTGTTACATATATTTAACTTTATTTTTGTTTTTATTTTTAACAATTGTCTTCTATTTTTTCTTTCTTTCCTAATTGGATATATATGGCTATACTTCATTCTTTACTTTCTTTCTTTTTTGTTCACTTGTTATATATATATATATTCCATCTTTATGGATTTTTTATTAGATTTTATGTAATTTAATTAAAATAACGACATGAGATTGAGTTTTAATTGGAGTAATATTATAAATTTTGAATTTTAGTATATATGAAATAAGAAAAGTATGTTTTCCAAATCTATTCACAGTATGGTTAACTACTATATATATATATATATGCATACATACTGCTTCGTTTGGCTGGAGGGATGGAAAAATGGATGGATGGGAGAGGGGGAGGGATGGATGAGTCATCCCTAAGGAAGGGAAAGTGTCTCATTTATTTTTTGTTTGGTTGAATGGAAAGGACGGGAGAAAGGATTGATGAAGTGTTAGTTTTTTTTTTGTTTGGTTGGAAGGAAGGAAATGATAGTTTTTATATATTTTTTACTAATATACCCTTACTATATAAAATTATGAAATTAATTAGTTTAAAATTATTTAATAATATTGAGTTCCACTAAGTTGTCTAAAATGAATGTTTTATACTTATGTACCAAACAATTTTTTTTTTTTTAATGAATCTGTATATATATATATATATATATATATATATATATTACCTACCAAACAATTAATTAATTTAAATTTATTTAATAATCACTATAGTTGTTTTAACGCAATAGAGTTTTAATAAATTTTTAGGATGGATAAAAATGAAAATTATAACAAATTTTGGTACTTATCCTCTTTTCTCTCCACTTTTCTCCCCAAATTTGGGCGGATAGGAAAATGTATAGCAAGGAGGGTTCATCCCTCCTTGCTTCCTCCCTCTCCTCCCTTCCCTCCAATCAAATATGAAAACATTCATCCATCTCTCCTCCCATCCATCCCTCCAACCAAACATAGCATACAAGTAAGATGGAAAAGAAAGAAGAAATATAAAAGAATAATTGGCCTTAAAAGTTGAAGTTTTATAGTTTCAAAAAAAAAAAAAAAAAAGAGCATTAATTACAACTTCTATAATTGAGTTTTTCAACCACCATGCGATTGTGAATGCACAGCTTGCGCGACTGTGTTTAGCACTCATAAAAAATGTTCGTTTCATAAAATTGTCTTTTATAATTAGGTAAAAAAATAGTAATTTTTTTTATTTTTAAAACTCTTGAGAACTGTTTTTTTTACTAAAACTAACTCCAACACTAGCGCTATGGAACATCAGTCAAATTTTCATTTTAGACAGAGAAGATGAGGCACACGCAGTCGGCCAGTTTGGTTACTGTTTGTTTCATCATGTCTAAAACTTCATTGTTTGAAAATCATTTTCGACCCAAATTTCCATCTCAAAACTCGTCATTTGATGATGGTCTGCTTTTGTTTCTTTCTCTACTTTTCTAAAATATGGCACCTAATAATGGCGGGTACTTTTCTTGGTGCACAAAGCAAGAAACTTTGACCTGGTTAGTTGATCTTATTCAGTGGAGGTGTTCTATCTGGTTGCAGTTAGAAATTGAGTTTGAAGTTTGAACAAAGTTTGTCAACTTAGGCTTGCAGTCTTGCCACTTCCGTCGTGTAGGTCCATATTAATTGTCTTGGTCAGCTTCTCAAGACCTGTGTGTGTGTGTGTGTGTGTGTGTGTGTGTGTGTGTGTGTGTGTGTGAGAGAGAGAGAGAGAGAGAGCCTCATTATAAGTACATAATTCAAACAACACTTCTTTTGACAAAAAAATGACTTGGACAAAAGCAAATATATTGGTATACTCTCAGCCTCAAATGAACCTCCCTGGGTTAAAGGCCAAGGAAAGCCCTAAAAGTAAAGACATATTATATATATGATGATGGGAGATGAAAATATAATATAGAAAATGGGAAGGAAAAAAATTCAAAACCTAATTTTATGAAAATATATAATATTATATTATTAGTTAACAACAATAAGGATTGAACCTTGAAGTCCCCTACTTCAATGTAGTTCCATCACTTTTACCACTGAGCTACAACAATTTTATCTAAATAAACACATGAAATTATTGTTAAACTTTCCATATACCATATAGAAGATTATTGAATTTTACATATACAAAACACAATTATGTCTTATGTAATAGTAAATTAAAAAAGTTAAATCCCTGAGTTAATTTTACATATACAAAACACAACTAAACACTTCCATTCCGTGTGCTATCCTTCGTTTAAGCCAGAGTTTGCAAGGCTCAAACATAAGCTGGTGGGTAATATCAGGACGACAGACCACGCCAAACATTTATTATTAAAGACACCGCAACCCACCTGGAAGTCGAAAATAAATGGCACCCCTACTCCTTTGCATCATCTTGCATCGGCAAGTTTTGCATACTAGGTGGTCCAGAGGTTTTCAGGAATCCACCAGAATTGTTCCCAGGCTTTGCAAGTTCCACGAAAATCACTCTACCATCGAAATGCTAACACAAGAAAAGGGACGTGAGTTCCAAGTCAAATAATGTCAATGAGATAAAAAGGCAAGAATAGACCAAATGGCAAAGTAATGAAGAACTAAGACCTTGTGATCCATGCTTTCTAGAGCTAGCATGGCGTTGTCTTGGCTAGCGTACTGAATGAATGCATACCCTTTCGATCTCTTTGTTGCTTCATCCTTAACAAGCTTAACTGCCAGTGAGAGTAGATCACAGTTAACAGATATGAGAGACGTGGACTGGAACAAATGTGGAGATGACAAATATATAATTCATTGTCAATACCCGATGAGGAAATCTGTTAACATACCTTCAGCTATCTGCCCAAAATTTGAAAATTCCTTCAGCAAACGGCTTTCACTGGTAGAATATGATAAATCTGCAGTTCATTATGCAGAATTAGGACTTGTGTCTCATACAAACAGCATATGGTCTTATAAATCATTTAAGACCATACCACATTTTTTAAAGCATTTAAAAATTTGTCTTTCAGACAGCATTTGGAAAGACTATACCACATTTGTTAAAGCATTTAAAAGTGAAAGCATTTTGCGATTTTAACAAATTATTATAATTCTAGGCTCCGTTACGATGGATGAATTTGAAAAGGATGGATTCGATTTTAATTATTTAAGGACTGTAGCCTATTTTAAACTGATAGCTTAAAAATATAATCAAGATAGATTCGACTAAGATGCATGCACAAATTTCAGATTTTTGTGTGAATTTGATATAACAGGTTAAAGGGAATCAATTAGCATCCTTGCCAAGAAAGTTTTAACTGCAGATGGATTATAATAAAATCTCTCTCACATACATTTATAGCAACTCAACTCTATCTTCCTCCTCGGGTTTCTCAATCCAACTCCAATAGCCAATCCTCCTACATACTAGTGATATGAACCCCAAATCCCTTCATTTTAAACTCATCAAGTGGAGATTTATTTATGTTGCTAATTTGGCTTGTGTCTTTACATCACACTAAGATAGCATAGGGATAATGACTAAATAATGTATATATCCAATAGAAAGTGACTATTCCCTATAAGCAAGGCAAACGATGAATAGTTATTGGGCGGCCAACATAATAGGCTGGTCCAGTTCCTAAATGAGGTCCAAACACCTAATAATATAATGAATCAAGCTATCCAAATACCAGTAGTACAATATACCCAACACAGTCAACTTCTCATCTTAAGAAGCATGGACACGGACACGGACACGGCGTGGATTCAATTAATATAAATATAAATTTTCATTTATACATCTATTGAGTATGAAATATAATTATAGAACTTTAATTAATTATAATTTAATTTTTATACTGAACTTTCATAATTTAGAAGCTTAAGCTATTCGAAAATCAAAAAAAAAATATATATATATATATATATATATATATATTATACGATATTACTCTCCTATCTTTTCATTATATCTATGTTTTTGTTTATTACATACTGTGACATATGTTTAATGTCACTTTTTTAAAGAAAAGGTGGTTGGACACTTTGATGTATGTTCATAATGTCGTTTTATGTACTGTCATGTGTTTGTTTTATACAAGACGAAGAGTGTGGGATGTGTTGGTTGAGTGTCCAGAATGTATTGACCAAGTGTCCGAGATGTGTCGGACAAGTGTCCGAACTAATAAAAATTGCTTTTAAACTATGGACATAGCCATGGATTGTCATACATGGGTCCAGGAGTGTCCATGAAGTGTCAGTGTCCTACATGGACATAACGCTTTCGTAGCATTGTTCGTGCTTCTTAGTTCTCATCTTTTAATGCTGACATTGGATTACACGGTGGTCAGAAATTACCCAACAAACATAGCAGCAATTAGGGCAGACAAACTCAACAAAGATTACCCTAAAACCGGAATATAAAATACGGGGTGAGCTTAGTGATTTCTATACTTTGTATTACCATTCTCATCAATCATCAAATCATCATCATCGCAACACAAAAAAGTATATTGGTATTGACTCTAACAACAATTCTTCGTAGAAATATATGTGGAACGTGGAGGATTAACTTAGAAACAATGTGCTGACCAACAATGGATATTCAAAATTTATCAGAAATTCAATAATTTGAGAAACAATGACATCAAATGTTGTTATACAAAAGTTTGCAAAAGCCCAATGAAAAGTTAATACTTGATAACCTATATGATTAGCTATCATGAACTTAAATGAAATGGCTTTTGTAAATTAAAACACAAAAGTCAAAGTCTCAAGCCTCCAGTGCACCCAAAGTCCAGTTTTATGTTCCTCATTTACGGTACCTGACAGAGAGAACCATTCTTTTCTTTACTTGGGCCGCCCGCACCTAATTTTGACCCACCTAACACTTGTTCAATGGGTAACTTCTATATCCCGCAAGATTTAATGCCTCTCTACTCGTCTCATGAACTTTTTCCACTTACTCAATTTCTTTCCCAAATTTTTCTCAATTATGGTTCAATTACCCTTTGGATAGGGAAGGTTTTGTGCTCTTGCATGAAAATTGGGTTTTTTCTAGGTTTGAATATGTTATCGGTCTTCCATGTTTATTAAAGGAAAATGTGATTATGTGACATTGAATTTGTTGGAATATAAAAGTTTGTTCACTTTTATCCTGTATATTTTTCATCAATCTTCTCTTTGTTCATAAAATTGTGTGGAAAAATTTGGCTTTGTGGAGGTTTTCTTTTCTACTTCATTTCAATTAAATTTTCATAAGAAGAGAAAAAAGATGTTGCTAGGTGAGTAGCTTATTATGATTTTAAGGTTGTATCTGCAATGGTATATCGAAAACTCATTCTTACCCATTGTAATTATATAATTTTTCCTCGTCAACCATTTTTAATATGCAATTTAGGGTGTCAACTAAGTTTTCATAGAAAAAGAAAAAAGGTGTTGCAAGCTGAGTAGCTTATTATCAATTTAAGGTAGTACATGAAATGTACATCGAAAACGCATTCTTACTGATATATAATTTTTCCTCTTCAACCCATTTTCAATATGCAATTTAGGGTTGACATCCTCAACCTTATCACAGCAATATGAGGTTGACATCATGAATACTGTTCTGCATTACAGCTCTTTTAAAGCCACATTTTCAATTAATCAGAGCTCCTCAAGAAAATCAAATGTATATATTTGTGTGTATGTGGTTTTTATATTCTTTCTCTTTCCTATATTCTTTCTCACCTAAAGAGAAGATGGGGGTAAGATTATCAGTTATAAGGTGGAAAGAAACCCCAGCTGGTAGAGAAGTCAGACTTATATAATAACGAAGTCCCAATTTTTATTTTATTTTCATAATTATCAAGTCCCAAATTTCCCAAATCCCAAATTTCACTTAAAATCTAATCACCTCAACAATCAAGATTTATATCACTGATTCAAGGGAAATCCACATGGAAAATCAATCAGATAAAGTAATACCATAACCATGAGAGACTGCAAATATATATATATATATATATATATATATATATATATATATATATATGTGCATGTATTATTGCGAGGGTGAGGAATACTTACTTCTTACCATGATCTTGCTTGCGAGAGGGAAATCGATGAGAGAGGCATGGGCGTGGAGCTTTAAAGATTTGGGTCTGTTAAGATTTATAAGTGAAATTTTGAGCAGTGGAGTTGCGACGGGACTGAAAGAAACACTCCTTATCATCTTCAAATGTGTGTTTATATATATATGTGTCTATGTGTATAGTTTATGGTATAAAGTATCTGCAAATGAGGTTCTGAACGAAGGTGTGAATCTGTCTCCAAACAGTCCCTAAAGTAAGCTAAGATTTAATTGTTTTTTACAATTATTTATTCTCATTTCATTTTATTTTATTTTATGAGTTTAGTGTAAAAACAACTCTTTCTTTCAGACTCAATTTAAATATTTAAAATGCCCTTAAAACAAATTAAAAATTAAAAATAGTTGATGTAAGTATTTTAATCCTTTTTATTTTGATCAATTTTTTTATAAAATAATAAAATACTCTTTTTATCTTAAAATGATGAAAAACAAAGAGGGTATTTTAGAATTTTTATCAAAAAAATTGATGTATTTTAGAATTTTAATTAAAAAAAAATTTGATCAAAATTAACCGGGTATTAGGGAAAATTTGTATACTTTTTAAAAATATTGAGCGGGCTACATGCTCGGACAGAACAAACGTGCACTCACTCACTCACTCACTCACTCGTGTCCATATAAAAATTTGAACCCATCACCTTTCACCGCCCTTGTGAAATAATTTAAGTAATTATTGAGCTTTGGAATTGTTAAACCTGATGAAATTATTCATTCACCATTTTGTCAATAAAAAGTAAATAGAGGATAAAGTATATAGAGGATGGTTATTTTTTTCTTTGCCAATTGAAAAGTCATGTTGGGGTGTTTTTTGCTTGGTGTCTTCACCTTAGTAATAATTGTGTAAGTTAAATTTTGAGGGAGCTTTCAATGCACAGACAAAGGAAGTTGCATCTGTCATTCACTTAGCTTCTGCTATAATAATAGAGGGAGGATTGCTATTCATAGTCGCATGGGAGTGTCTATTCGCAGTTGCATCTCTAATTGATTAAAAAATTAATTATAAAAAAAGATTATAAAAAATTAATAAATAACTTTTTTTATGTAAATAAAGAAAGAAGAAAGATTATAAATACACACGTAAAAAAAAAAAATATATATATATATATATAGTTAATTTAATCTTAAAAGTTAAAAATTTATAGCTTTCAATAAAGACGAATGAGGAACCAATCAGAGGTGCTGTAAAACTCAAGCTTAAGCATTTAACTGAGGTAGAGTTAGTAATTTTTTTCTTTTTTTTCTTTTTTTTTAAGGCAAAGCAATTGCACACACTTATGAACATCCCACCTCGGGAGGAGGGCTTATTCTAGCCGGACCATTACTTATTTGATTTTTTGAGTGGATTAAAAGGTCCGCAAATGACAGTATGCAATGAAGAATTTTTTTTTTTTTTTTTTCTTTTTCTTTTTCTTTCATTGAGGAGTTGAGTATTAGTGAGTGTAACTTTGCTTAATATTAGAAATTTATCAATGAAAGTTTTGTTGCCTTTTACAAAGGACAAAAAAATAAATAAATTATAAATAATAAATAAATAATAATTTGCGGATACATCTAAAATTAGCCACTTTGTAGGTATAATGTCAAAGTAATACTATTTTTTAGTTTTCTCCTCAAACAGTGTAGACGGACCGACACTCTGATCCTTTCACTTAAAATGCATACTCTTCCATTGAATTTAATAAACCTCCAATTCTGCAAAGATCAGCGATGGGATCACTGAACTAACCAACTGACTTGGAGGAATGAGTCTTTGATGCAATAAACAATCATTTTCCTTATGCCAAATAGGGAAATATCACCATTGACGACGCCAAGTAATTCACGCAGTTTGAGGTCTATCACAACTATTATGGTGTGAGTTTTATGACTTTGTGAGACACCAGACTAATTGAATGTTGGTAATTATAATAGTGCTCTATATTGTGTAACTCATAAATCGAGAATAAAGTAATAAATGGAGAGGGAAACCAAATGATTCCAATTATTTAATCAGGAGGAAGAAGAGGGGTTCAGACTATTCTTTTATTTCTCTTCTCCCTTTTACCTAGATGCATAAAATATTTTGGGAGGATAATCTTAGGCTAACAATAGTTATCTCCAGATCCATAAGGAAAAGTCTTCTTGGAACCAATAGTGTGACATAATAATAGATCAGTGCTCTTTAAGTTTTAAATATATAATTGAAAAGTAAATGAAAGAAACATTAACTTTCTCTTGCTATATTTAAAATTTAAAAAATTAAGAAATTAGCTAGTCTAATCATATATCTTCCTTCTAAAGAAAATAGTTGAAGCTTCAAAGGAAAGATGTGGCTAAAGCACACTACAATGCTTACACAATTTTTGTTTTTATTTTTATTTTTCAATCAATTAAAGTTCAAATGAAAATTTGAATTTGATGATGAAAAAGAATTCGAGATTAGCCGGTCAAAAGGTGACAAAGATTCAAATCAACGAGGTGGACTGTAGACTTTGAGCACGACATGTCTTTGCAAATGGGTATCAAAAAGAGCCACACTTTCACACACAACCTTTTCTCCACTCAAGTCAATTCATTTGACCAAGAAACCACCTTGGATTGAGCAGCACTCTATTATGACTGCAGAGACCTCACTCCACTCCTCCTTGATCATCTAACACACTCAAAACTTACACAAATAATTCTGATATTACAAATCTTTCACTCAAGCCTAAGAATTCATGCCTCAACCCATCAAATGTAGCACCAGTGCGAAGCTAAGGATGTTAGGGCTCCTACAGATCACATTGCCATAAGTGGATCCCCTCTTGTTTGGAGGGTCGACCTAGTTTTGGTGCACAGATACGGAGCTCAATGCGAGTCTCGCGTGTGAAAGTGGATCCCCTCTTGTTTGGAGGCTCTGTGCACCAAACGACCTACTTTTGGTGTACGGACACAGAGCCCAATGCGAATCTCATGCATGGAAGTGGATCCCCTCTTGTTTGGAGGGTCCCATACACCAAATGACCTAGTTTTGGTGTATAGACACAGAGCCCGGCCAATGTGAGTCTCATGCTTCCCGTGCACCAAATGACCTAGTTTTGGTGTATAGTGTTAGATTTGTGGCTCAAAATTTGTATGCAGAAAATTAGTTTCCTTTTTTCGTTTTGGAAGGTTAAAATTTGTGGAGAAAATTGTATCCCATTATGTTTCTATTTTAGAGTCGTGATCATTATTGTAACTCCTTGTAGGCAAGTTGGGGAATACTTGTCCAACAAAGAATTGGATTTGAAGACTTTATAAATAAAGATGGGTGTGAGGGTTTAGAGAGAATAGAGAAAATATGTAAAAGGGTTAAGGGTGAGTGTTGTGAGGAAATGAGTGAGTATATGTAATTTTCGAGTGTATACATGCAGTCACAAAAAAGATGATGAGTGAGTGAGTGGGGTTTTGAAATGTGGTTGTATATTCTCTTTCTTGATTCATAATAGTGAAATCTCTCTCTCCCATGGACGTAACCCTAAAGTTAGGTGAACCGTGTAAAATATTGTGCTGTACGTGGATGTGTGTAATTGTTATCTCCATATATACTTGTGTTGATGTAATGTGATGATGTTTCCGCTACGTGTGACGAAAGAGGAATTTAACTCTCAACAACAACCGACCGTTGAGTGGGTTGGAGGGAGTTAATTTTTCCCAACAACTAGTATTAGAGCCGATGGTGGGTCAGAGCCTGTGATTAGTCCTGAAGATCAGTAGAAGAAGACTGCTGCGAAGTTTGTCAGGGCAGAAGATGATCATGAGGTGCTATGGAGATTCAATCAGAGTTGATGATGACACGAAGGTATGAAAAAGGTGATGTTGTGAAACCGATGAGAAACAAGTCTTGGGACAAGCCGGATAATGCTCGTTTTCAAGATGGGGCAAAGGTGATAGAGTTGAAGACCACGAGGAACAAGTTTTGGGGACAAGCCAAGAGTGAGTGCTAGTTCTCAAGATGGGACAAGGGGTGTGAAGAATGAAGGGTTTTACTCTAAGCCCGATAAAGAACAAAGGGGATTATGAAGAGTGAAGATGAGAAGCTTGTTGCTTTGATCCAGAAAAGCAATTGATGAAGATGAGTTGAAAATTGATGGATTGTCATACGTGAGCAATTGAACACCACTGGAGTGAATAGAGAAAAGGAAGAATGATGAAATTTGAGAAAAGATAAAGATTGTTAAAGTGTTTCTCAAGTTCATTATAGTACTTTATTTGAGGCGGAGGTGGAGTTGTGAAGAGCTTAAGGTAGAGGTATGAAGAGATCCTTATTTGAGGTGGAGCTATGGAGAAGCACGCGAAAATAGAATTTTGAGGCAAGGTGGAGATTGTTGGGTTTGTGGCTCAAAATTTATGTGCAGAAAATTAATTTCCTTTTTCGTTTTGAAAGGCTAAAATTCGTGGAGGAAATTGTATCCCATTATGTTTCTATTTTAGAGTTGTGATTATTATGATAACTTCTTGTAGGCAAGTTGGGAAATCCTTGTCCAACGAAGAATTGGATTTAAAGACTCTATAAATAGAGATGGATGTGAGGGGTTTAGAGAGAGAGAGAAAATATGTAAGAGATTTAAGGGTGAATGTTGTGAGGAGGTGAATGAATATATGTAATTCCCGAGTGTATACATGTAACCTCAAAAGAGATGATGAGTGAGTGAGTGGGGTTTTGACATGTAGTTGTATATTCTCTTCCTTGATTCTTAACAGTGAAATCTCTCTCCCATGAACGTAACCCTAGAGTTAGGTGAATCATGTAAAATATTGTGTTGTGCGTGGATGTGTGTGATTGTTATATTCATATATACTTGTGTTGATGTGATCTGATGATGTTTCCGCTGTGTGTGACAAAAGAGGAATTTAACTCTCAACAATAGCCAATCGTTGAGTAGGTTAGAAGGAGTTAATTTTTCCCAACATATAAGCACATAGCCTAACGCAAGTCTCACGCATGAAAGTGGATCCCCTCTTGTTTGGAGAGTCTTGTGCACCAAACGAACTAGTTTTGGCATACAAACATGGAGCCAATCCAAGTCTCATGAGTCCGACTTGCTTTTGGCTCTGTGTTCTATGTTGTACTCCAAAACAACGTGACGCACAGGACCCCTCCAAACAAGAGGGTGTCCTAGTCCCACCCTAGCTTGGTTTTGATTTTTTATCCCCTTGGATTGTGGGGAAAACTAAATTTTTTTTGGTTTGTGGGCTTTGACCATTCCCCTCTAGCTTCAAGAGGTTGGTCTTCTTATTTGCTCCATTCATATCTACTCTAAACTCCTTAAAAAAGAAAGGGATAGACCAACAACCAATTTTGAGGACATGTGATGATCGAAATGCATCAATTATATTCTTTAGTTTGTAACATCATCCATAAAAAATGAAAGGTGTTGATATTTATAATGGAATGTATGTTTATTGTAAAAAGACATATAGCATCATCAAGTAGGGTACATATATAGAGTAACTCTATTCTACAAAGCGACTATTCTCATAGTTGAATCTGTTGTATTCTCACAAACACACATGGCAATTAGAAATTTTCCCAATTAGCAATAAAACACTAAGAACAAGAGCACATGAATGCGCATGCATTAATTAAAAAAAATTTACATTGCTAGGCATGCATAAAAATTTTGTCACAATTCAACAATATCTAAATTTCCTCACCATCCTCAAAAGAAATAACTATCATTTGGGAAATAGACATCACTAACAATATTACTATTGTCGGATGAGAAAACACTATATTGCTGCTCTTGACCACCATACACTTGTTCATGTGGTTCTTGGCTAAACTGTTGCTGCTGTTCTTGTAGGTGTTGCTGCTGCTGCTGTTGATCAGGCCATGTTTGCTGATTATAACCATTCAATCCGAAAGACGCCACCATAGAAGTCACCGAAACAACGCGCTCATCACTCGTCTCTCCAAAACTCAAGTTGATAGGGCCTCTCTGAGCCCCGTGTGAGGAGGAATTACCACTAGAGCAGCCAGTGAACTGTTGCACCAGGGCGCGAAAATTGGTGGTGTCGGCGTTGAGGAGGGTTGTGGGTGTCCTCCTGGAAGCCCTGGTCCGCCTTCGGATTGGTTTGGAAATGCAGCCCTTGGGGTTCAGTTGACTGCTTGAGGTAGGGCTTGGATTGCCAGGGCTCAACACGTGGTCGGTGGGAACGACAACGCTGGGGTCGGAGAGTTCTCCGCCTGGCGGCGACACCACCACCACCGGTCTAGTGGCGGTCTGTTGATAGTATGGCAGAAATTCACCGGAGCCTGGCATGGTGTGCTCACCCATCTTTCAGGCCCTTTGTTATGAAAGGAGTAACCAACATTAGCTATTTTATAGTCCACTGCTAGTATAGTCAAAGTGTTGAATTTTGACTATTCACGAAAGAGAGTGAGAGAGAGAGTCTTGAAGCCAAAGTCTCTGCAGCTTCCAGGAAATAGAGCTATAGTGTGTGCTTATCTCAATGAGATAATGTAACATATCTGTGTTGAAGTCATCCTAAGACTCATTATTTTGGAGCCTTTTTTATGGGCTTGATTTGCCTCTTTGATCATGAAATGTGAAAAGGCCAACTTAGTCCCATTCAAGTGCTCGATAATTTCTGCGATACAATACGGATACTTGTTGAACTGTATCGAACGAATCTCGTTATTCAACACGCATAATCACTTATGCAATGACTTTTCTTTCTCATCATTGATTATCATCTTTTCCTAATCTTCCATAATTTTTCGATTGTGTGCAGTGTGATTGTTCATATGTTATTCAGTGTGTGTATGAGTGTGTATGCATTAGGGTGCAGTTGTCTCAATGTGTGCATTTGTACAGAGATTTTAGAATATTCCAATAACATGGTTCCCACAAGGGCCACAACACAAATAATTAACAATGACCAAAAGTATGTTGACTAGCATTAATATTCCACTAGTTGAATACCAACTCCACACCACCAACCCATATGAAAAACAAAAAAACAACAAAACAAAACATATATATATATATATATATATATATATATATATATATTTGGTGAAAAAATTAATAAATAAAACAAAAATAGTATTTATCCACCATTACTTCTTAGTTATTAACTGGAAAAAAAAAAAAAAAAAAAAAAAAAAAAAAAAAAGGGGCCCTATCTATTCAAGGTTTCTGAGTTTTAGGAGTTCAAGCAGATATTAAACTACACTAATTTTTTTCTAATTACTTTTGGCCTCCTTTGCTTTACATATGACTTCAAAAATGATTAATCATCATGTGCTTGGAAAATATAAAGCCGCGAACTTAATTAAGGTTCATAAAGACAAAATATTTAATATGCCCCATGATATTACGTCAATCTCTACCACAAGTCAATGTTCAATGTATATAGTTCAGCGGTGTGAATGAGATTAAATATGCTTATCTACCATCCTTGTCTTTGTAAGTTTCTCAAATGTTTGTGTGTGTGTGTGTGTGTGAGAGAGAGAGAGAGAAAGAGAGAGAAGTTCGCATGGACAGCTCAACTGATTAGATATTTTCAGTGAATACTGTACCTCTTATTCGAATTTCATTAATTGCGACAGTTGAATTTAAATGATAAGCATGATTTGTGAAAGATTGCGTGATTTGAAAGGTGTACCTAATCCACTCACATGTATGAACACTGTCTTCAGACACGGATCTGCGAAGGGTTTAGTGGAGTTTATTATTGCATTTTTTACTTTTAGATTTATACCTTTTTACATTTATATCCATAAAATTATGAAATTACCCCAATGAAATAATGAAAAACACCATCTATATAAATCCCCCCCTAATCCTGCCACATGGATGGTGAACTAATGTGAACATTCTCTCTCCTCTCTCCATATGTCCATAATATATATATATATATATATATATACACATATGAGTGTATTTGCACGTGTTTCATCAACCAAGATGTTGGCTTAAGCTGCAGCTTAAGCATCCTGTGTTTCAGATATGGAATGGAACAAGTTAGCAGTGAGGTGTGACTAAAACAAAGAATGATACTTGATTTAATTCCTTTCTTTATTGTTTACCAACTTTTCTTTTTATATATTTTTAACACTCTTTTGATGGATGTGTATACCATATGAGAAACGCCTATCTCATTCTTTTTTACATAAAAACAAAAAAAAAATAGAGAAATAATACAATATTTTTACACAATTCAATTTCACCATGAACACATCACCATGTGTATACAATTAATCTTACAAGCTGAATCACACCATGCTCTCCCATTAATCTTAGCTTGGTTTGTGATCATCAACTCAATTCCAACCTCGATCGAGATTGACTTGTTATATAGTGCATATTGATTCATATGGTGTTTTGAACTCGAATCCTCTCGTGGCCATTTTCATTTCATATCTGTGGTTACATCGTTATTTCATGATGTTTCATTTCGTCATATCTAATAGGGAACATAGACAGGTGCACAGGATCCGCCCAGATTCATTTCTCTACTCCCGGTGAATTATTCTCCATTGTCTATTTGAAATCTCTTTAATTAATAGTGTAAATCTTCTTTCAATTTCAAAGTAGTAAAAATAAAAACATAAATAAGAGAAACACACGCATACAAAAAGTGACAGATAAAAAGATATGATTAATTATCAGTCATTATCAAACAAGGCACCAAGTCTCTGACCCTTTCTCCACGTACTGAGAAGGACTTGGCTTGTAGAGCAAGTTTACCATATGTAAACTTTGACCAAAGAATTTTCTCCCAAACACATCACAATCACTTTGTCAAGAAGAGCAAAACATTTCAAAGAAAAAGTGGAGCTTATTTAATGGGGTAAGAAAATGAAGAAAAAAAATGTACCGTTTCTAACTTTCTATGCATCCACTTGAGTGTTCACTACAATAACCAGAGGGTAAAATACATCATTGTTGGACTTTTGTGGTCTGAAGAAGCATGTGTTCATCAAAGTCAAAGCGTTCACATTGAAGCTTCATGACACGGTCACTACTATTTGGCCTTTGCAGAATCAAAATATATAATATATATCAAATAATGATAAGACCTTCCAGATTTCATTTGAATCAGTCAACGTATGGGAAAAATATGATTATTGGAGGGAAAATGAGGAAAAGAAAAAAGAAAAGAAAAGGAATGATGCAATTATAGCCACACGATCAACATGTGCTGAGGCTTCGCCATATATTCACAAACCCTAATAGTGGCTGGTCCAATAATTTTTTTATCATACCTAGTAGTCTAGCAAAGAAGGCTAGCCAAGGGATTTTTATCCAAAACTAATAATGACCGGTTGTAACGAGTGGGCGTTTGTCTATTTATTCAAAAGCTCATATTGAACAGTACTTCATACCCCTCTATTTATATATACTTCAACCCATATCCAAATTCAATGTAGGACAAGTCCCACTTGTAATCCCACCTGAACCCTCGCAACGCCCTCGTTTACCCGGACGCCCTTTGAAACGGACGCTTGGCGTGACACCGGATTAAAGACTGGGTCTAACTCTGATATCAACTGAAACGGATGAATGCTTACTCATTTATCCAAAACTTTAAGTTATTGAATAATATTGCATACTCACCCATTTATACCCAATCACTCTCCCATCCTATTCCAATGTGAGAATATGAAGTAATTTTTAATCAGACCTAGTAGTGGGGTCTAGCTCTGATCCAAGGGATTTTTTTCCAAAACTTTGATCTCACCCAACGGGGTAAAAGATTTCATATGTTAGAACTTTTAGTTAGACTATTAGGTCTGAATTGCATTATCTTAACGAGTAAAAGTAGCTCAAGTTAGTTCACTCACTCATTGAAGCTAACTTCAAACTATTAAGGAGTTCAACACTCTTTTACTTGAACAACTCTTAGCAACATCGGACATAGAGCTCAAATAGGCTCATGAAAAGTTGCATAGATAGCAGCAATAGAGAATGAAAAGAATACTCCATACAATTAGATCAAGGGTCATATACTTATCCGCGAAAATTGTGAAATAAAGTTATTTCATTGTGCTTTTCGCATCCATGCATGCCTGAAGAACGAATTAGTACCCGAATTTCAAATTTTAAATTTCCAAAAGAACCCAACATTCAAACTCAGAAAAAACAACCAGAACTTTACTCTGGCATATGGTGTCGATCATTATAACGGATTTCAGAGTGCAGAATTTTTCTCTTTTCTCCTTGGAATGATTCCCCACCTTATGATGAGGGAGATAGTTCACAACAAAAGTAGCTGCTTAGCAGTTCAAGAATATTACACTCATCTGATAGATACAGAAACCAAACCAAGAGAGAGAGACATTGTTGCTCACTCAAAATTCTCTCTATTTAGTCAAAAGGAGAGAAAACGAAAAGGAAATGATACAACAATCCGCATTTACATTGAAAAGGTGTACAAATAAACTCGCAGTGTTTATGAATGAAGTTGAGAGAAAAGTATAAAAGATATATACAACACTTGGTGAAATTTTATTTTAATTTTTTTTTTTTTGGGAACCTTCTAATTTCTATTCTACTGTTATTTCAAGTATAGTGGTAAGTCTAGGTTTTTTGTATCTTCTGAGAAGTAAAGAAGAGCACACAACACTTACAGATGAGAGAGCCATGCATGCACCAGCTGCCCATGGTGGTAGCCCAATCCTCACCCAGGGAAAGAAAACCCCAGCAGCAACAGGGATTGCAATCACATTGTAGGCCATGGCGAACACATAATTCAATCGGATACGGCTGAAGGTTTTTCTTGATAGATCAATGGCTGTGATCACATCTTCTAAATTATTTTTCATCAACACATAATCGGCAGCCTCTATGGCAATATCTGTCCCTGCTCCAATTGCAATACCGACATCTGCAGCAGCCAAGGCAGGCGAGTCATTGATACCATCCCCAACCATAGCAACAATGCTTCCATCTTTCTGAAATGATCGGATTACATCGGCTTTTCCGGCTGGCATCACCTCTGCCCTTACATCTTCAATGCCAACCTGCTCAGCAACATATGTTTTAATTTTACAAGTACCAAATCAATACAAAGAGCCATAATTATCAAATCATCCTTTTATGAAAATATCATTTTGACAAAGAACTTTTCCGGATCTCTTATTTTATAGGTACCACAATTTTAATAACAATTTACTTTAATATTTATATAAACAAAAAAATTTGGAGAGAACTATATATCCATCCAAATCAGTGTACCGTCCACGAAGACACAGAGAGTGACAAAAACAAAGTTCAGCATTCACCAAGGAATTATTTGGTTTCTTGTAAGGACTAACTACACATTTTAATTTCAAAATCAACTCTAGACCTGGTAGAATTCAAAACAAATACACAAGATGTTTTACATTTCCATCCTAAAAAGCTTTTTATGTTATCAGTGATTTTTTTTTATTTTTTTGATAAGTTATTTATGTTATCAGTGATTGAAGAAATAAAAATGACGTATGATACAAATTTGGCGGATCATTTCGTTCTTGAAAAACTCACGAGACAGCCATTTTCAGATAACTCAAAAAATAAAATTCCAGCACTTCAAAAAAGTCAGTTCCATTTAAAACAAGTTTTTGAATATAAACACACAAATATGTTATTATATAGTGGACATTGCTTGGTGCACTGGTAAAAGCTCATACCGACAAATGTTCTATACATATGTATTTATGTATGTATTTAAAAAACTTTAATTCAAGGAAATATCATCTATCTATCAGAGTTGGAGAAAATGACAAAATCAACTTGAAATCAAACTGAGATGTCAAAAACAAAACCTTTTTGTGGTGCTAATATTTAAGACAACGGATTGATGAATAAGAAATTAAATACAGACCTCCTTAGCAACAGCCTGGGCAGTCCGCCAGTTATCCCCTGTAACCATAACAGGGTGTACACCCATTTTCTTAAGGCCTTGAACAACCACACCAGCTTCTCTCTTTAGTGGATCTGCAACCCCCATAACACCAATTAGAGCATTATCATATGCAACAAGTATGGTCGAGTTTGCACTCTCTTCCAACTCTATGACGAAATTTTCTGCTTGGATTGGAATGGATATCCCATTTTCAGTCAGCAGCTTCCGATTGCCAACCTGTCATACAATCTACAATTACTAAACCCTTCAAAAATTTAAATAAATAAATAAGCATATTTCTTTTGCTTCAAACTCTATATTGTGCATGACAAGAAGTTTCAAAACTCACAAAAATTTGTTTTCCATCTATAAAGCACTGGACACCTCTTCCAGGCACAGCAGAGAACTCTGAGACATCAAGAAGCCAACCAGATAATTTGGACTCTTCACTGTGCTTTTGAGCGTCCTTGGTAGCAGAAGGCAAGTCAAAGAAATGAAAGTGGCGGGCGTATTCCAATACCGCTTTTGACATTGGGTGCTCACTGCTAGCCTGAAACCAGAATCACCAATTATAGCTTTCTACAGCTAAATTGTTAAAGAAATCCAGCTCCTCCCACCATCCGGGGATAAAAATAGAAAAAAGAAAGAATATAAAAGGGTTCCAATCTGATTCATTTCTCAATGTTACAGTGTAGTTCCATTCACAGCTTGGTACTAGAATGTATGCATGGCATCCTGTCATCTCCCAGAAAAAACAATGCTAATATGATAAATGCCTCTTTTATAGTGAAATTATGGATATATTCCTCCATAGTTTTTGTGAAGGACTGTGATTAATACTTGAAATTGGTTACAAGAGTCAAACCAGAATTTAACAGCCATGAAAAAGGAAAAAGGAAAAAGGAAAATGGAAAATAAAACATAAGAAGGAGAAGATTGGGGGGGAGGGGACAAGTGTAAATTGCTACCTCTGCAGAAGCCACCAATGTAAGGAACTCTCCACGATCCATCTCTGTGAAAATCCTTGCAGTTGTAACTGTGGCTTTTCCCTGGGTGAGGGTGCCTGTTTTATCGAATACCACATGCTTAACCTTCTGAGCCCTCTCCAACGCATCTCCTCCTTTTATAAGGACACCATTATTAGCTCCAACCCCTGTGGCAACCATGACAGCAGTTGGAGTGGCCAATCCAAGTGCACATGGACATGCAATCACCACAACTGATATTGAAAACATGAGGGCAAAAACAAAATGATTCCCATGCTCAGGTAGCCATTGTTCTGGATAAGCTCCGAGAGCTCCACCAATATACCTAGACACAATCAACATAAAGAATAAAACAAATAAGAGTGGTATTAACATTGAAACCATACCAATTACCATCCCAATAAAGTCGTTCTATCATTGTAAACTTACCATCCCAATAAAGTCAACAATGACATACCAACAACTGTAGGGACAAATATGCTAGCAACCTGTTGTCATGAAAAATAACTAGGGTAACGTAACCACTTAAAATCATAACACTAATATATTAGAAAAGCAATAATATATTCCAGACTATAACATAATGATCAGGCAAAAAAATAGAAGCCAGTTAATAGGGAAGAAGCAACAAGTTTATAATTTGCAAACACAATAACTATAACCCCAGATTAATTTCTTGAAATCCAAAATAGATTTTTTTTTTTTTTTTTTTTTTGTCTAGAATTCAGAAATTTTCTACCATAAATAGTTCTGAGTTCTGACCGAGTGGAACGATCTATATGCTGAAGCAAGAATGGAAGGTAATAACGGCAGAAGTGCAGATTTTTTTTTTTTTTTTTCACTTAAGCACAGATAAACTAACAATATTAAATATGGTTTGCTCTGAGTTGAGTTTTATAAAATTCACAGAATGTGTATAGAATGCCTAGGCACTTTCACCAATCAAACGCTAGAACTGCAAATACAGAATATCAACATCAACGCCAAAAGCAATATTGATAAAAGCCAAGCAATATTGGAGGCAGTCAATTAAAAGGAGTCCAAAAACTGAAGTCGTTTATCACAAACAAGGACTAATTAGCTGCTTATTCCAAAGTTTTGCCCAATCCGAATTTGATGCACATTCCATAAGCAATCAGGAGTCAGGACCTACTAGGCACTGGTAGGAATGATTGCATGACGAGGTGGAGGTCCTTGGAAAATCTCCAATCTCTTATAGAAGTTCTAATCATTCAAAAATGATCGATATTTGGGTGATGAAAACCCTTAAAACCAAAAGTAGAGACACTCTGGCCTATTGATGTTAAAAAACTTATTTTGCCTCTTTTTATCATTTCTTGTCCTACATCCAATTGTTCTTATGTTGCCTTTCCATTTGAGGAAATTATTCCTGTGTGCATCTTTAGTTTTCTTTTTTAAAATATATATATATAAAAGATTTTTTGGCGGCAAAGTAATTGAGGGATAGATAACATTCACAATAATAAAATAAAATTGAATTAATCTAGTGCATTTAAAATATTATTCAAATAAATGTTCACCAATTTAGAATAAAGGATAGAACATCATATATCACAAATTTGCTTGGAACAAATACATATCCGCAACAGAGCAAGCAGAACAATTGCAATTTATAGGTCTAAGATACCAAGGCGATAATTTGGCATGTTGCTTACTCAAGTTGTGGTTTGATTATTCGGAAGAAGTTAGTTGATTTCTTGCTTATGAGAGCAAACCATGAAAATTACATCAAAATACTTACCCTGATGCTGAAAACAAAATGAAATAAAGCAGAGTACAACATAATTTACACAATTATTACTTACAAAATCAGCGAATTTCTGAATAGGAGCTTTAGACATCTGTGCCGTCTCAACCAGACATATTATCTGGCTCAAAACTGTTTTAGATCCTACTTTGGTGGCTTGTATGTGAATGGAACCGTGTAAATTCATTGTACCCCCGATAACCAAGGAATTGAACTCCTTCAGAGCAGGTGCGGATTCACCAGTAACCATACTCTCATTAACGTAACTTGAACCCCACACAACCTTACCATCAACAGGAACCTTTGTACCAGGAAGAACTTTTAATACGTCTCCAGGCTGTATCAGCAAAGCATCTATTTCCTTTTCTCCAATACTCTTCCCTCCTAGGAAACCAAATCAAACTTGCTCATTTGTCAACTTTCAAAAATCATTTTCAGCAATAACTCCAGTAGTGGTGATCCAAACAAAATTACCAGAATTGTAAAAAAAAAAAAAAATTCTAATTAATTGATGTACTGTAACTTTTTTTTTCCCCCGGAAATTAGATAAACTGTAAACTTGAATAAACTAGAAAATGGATAAAAACCTAAGATATTAATCAAGTTAATGCCCCTCTAAACCTATTCTCTAAAATACATTAAGGCAACCATACCTTTGTCTTTGTCAAGTAACAGAGCTGTTGCTGGAGCAAGTTCCACTAACTTCTTTATAGCATCAGATGTCTTTCCCTTGGCAAGAGTTTCCAAGTACTTTCCCAACAAAACAAATGTTATTAGCATTGCACTTGTTTCAAAGTATGTTGGCGACCAAAACCCGGTGATTGCACCATATAGAAGTGCACAAACGGAGTAGAAATACGATGCTGAAGTACCCAATGCAACCAAGACATCCATGTTTGTAGAACCATTTCGAAGTGCTCTGTAAGCTGCAACATAAAAACGCTTACCAACACCAAATTGAACAAGAGTAACCAATGCCCACTTCAACCAATCCCCCATCCTGAATGGCCCGCATCGCCGGAGCAATAAAGAATACACCAGAGGTAAATGAGGGCAGACTACTCGCATGAGAAAGACAGGAACCTGGCACCAATATTTAAGGATTCAAAATTGAAACTTGTAAACGTTAAAATGAGGAAGCATAACTGACTGATGAGGCTTTGGAAAAGGAGTTTAACGTTCTATTAAATAAAAAATAAAAAAAAAAACTTTTAAAATATTGCATTCTCGGAAGTGATATTCCAATCAAATCTGTTATTAAAAATAGGGCTGCAAATGAGCCGAGCTGTTCATGAACAGCTCGGGCTCAGCTCGCTAAGGGCTCGGCTCGGGCTCGTTCATTAAGTAAACGAGCCGAGCTCGAGCCCAATTTTTAGGCTCGCTTAGTAAACGAGCCGAGCCCGAACAACGTTAGGCTCGGCTCCCATGGGCTCGTGAACAAGGCTCGTATAAGGCTCGTTTAGGCTCGTGAACAAAGCTCGTTTATTAGCCATTTATAAGTTTTTAATCCAGCCCATATGTGTGAGTCCATTCAATTATACATGATAAGCCCATTTGAAAACCATTACTATAATCTAAGCCCAAACAAAAATGGCCCATATTCATTTTTAAAACCCAACCCATTTATGTTACCAAACAAACCCTATTTTCTAGTTCATTCTTTACCACAGAATAAGCATCGGCGGCCACTCTCATCTTCCCCATTCACTTCTTTTCTTCTCTGCAACCATTCTTCCTTCACTGGCCGCCCTTCAATATTTCATATTATGAAGACAACAATGGAAGAGTAATGAAAATAATTGCTAGCTGTAGATGATTTCAGACAACCTGAAGGTATGTATGTGCATATATATATATATATATATATATATAGATCTATTTTTATTTTTGATAAGAGTTAGGGTTCATAAAATTCACTTTTCAAACACCATCACCGCCTCGATCTCAACCTCCAGGCCCTGATGAGGAAGTGGTCGATACCTCGTGTACCGTTTCTCTCATGCATTCTCTTTCTCTTTCCAGATTGAGGTACGTTAGGGCTTTCTCTCCCTACTGGCATACATGTGTTCCATATATGGACTTGTATTAGAGTAAAGTTCACATTCTAATTCTTAAGATTGATGTGCTTATTGACGCAAATTGATAGATACATAGCTCCACACATTGATATATATATATGATATAAATGTGTTATATTTTGTATTATATATACTTGTAAATATGTTTGCTGGGTATCTATAGGTGTTGTGTATCTCTGTGTGCGCTGTATCTACAGATGAGCTCGAACCGAGCCGAGCCCGAGCTCGTCGATTTTCTGACAAGCCGAGCTCGAGCTTGGCTATTCTCGGCTCGCCTGAGCCCGAGCCGAGCCCGAGCACCTCCCTGATTGTGCCGAGCCGAGCCCGAGCATGCCAAAGCTCGGCTCGGCTCGGCTCATTTGCAGCCCTAATTAAAAATGTAATCTTCTTCGTAATTTATACCTGGAAACTGGCCAGAATGCTTGGTATTTCTCTTTTTAAAAGAGAAAAGTCTATGCGGGTCATTCCTAAATGTAATTCCTTTGAAAACATGTCCCTTAAGAAACAAATTAGCAAATCATTTGTTGGACACCTTATTTTGCATTTCACATGAAACATCAATTTAATGGGCTTTTAAATGAGTAACCCAAAGAAAATCTATCTGACAGAACAAGTTGTTAAGAATATGAAGTGGAGAGTGGGTTATCAGAGAAAGGGGGAAAAGGATGAATAATATACCCAAAGAAATGCAGATAAGAAAGACTACTCACACTGAGAAATAAACTGGTAGTGAAGAGCCGAAACATGTTTGAGGTTTCTTCCAGATCTTTAGAAGCCATTCTTGTATAAGGGTTCTTGACATGTAATTTGAACTTCATAATGCTTCCTCCTTCAATCTCATCAACTAAGGATCTAGGACCAATAACTTCGGGGTCAAATAGAACTTCCAATTCTCTTGACATTCGGTCAAAACGAAATTGCCTCACTCCTCTCAAGTTGCAAAGTATACCTTCTAAAACCTGTACATCCATCTCACTAGATATCCCAGCAACCACTAGCATGATTTTATCCTGGTCACTGCTCTGTAAGAATGAAGCTTCAAAACCAGCATCTTCAATTGCATTAACTATATCATCCTTAGTTATTACAGTAGGATCATATTCAACTTCTCCAAAGGAAGTCGCCAAGGCAACAACTGCCCTTTTGACTCCAGGGAGCTTTCTTAAGATGCCTTCAACAGAATTCACACAGGCTGCACATGTCATGCCTCCTATAGAGAACTGCCCCAACAGGGTTCCATGTGGCTTCATTCTAGTCATACCAGATTCAGGTAGAATTTCTGCATCGAACCCTGCATCTTCTATTGCATTCTTGATGTCATCTTCCTGAAATATTAAACAGTTCCAAATAAAATATACTTCATTTGGAGTGGATACCACTTGCAAATTAACCAGTTGGTATAAAAGCAAAATCAAGTCCATACTAAGAAGAAAGACAGCATAATAACATCCCTGAAATGTATCAACCTAACACAGTGCTTCAAAAACTTGACCATACAAATCATAAGACAGTGACAGCCACAGTAATAGAAATGCTAAAACCAAAAAGGTCGAAAATGCTAGAACTAAGTATTCAAAAACTTAAGTAGTTGGTAAGCATCATTGAAAACAAATCCATACTACCGTGTGGATAATAATATATCTCTGAAATGTAATCAACATGACACGCTACAAGAAGAAAAAATATCACAGATTTCAAGACTTGCCAAAAACTCTATACAAGATGGAAGATTATCAACAGCTATTATAACAAAAATGCTAGAACCAATATATCCATTTTTAGAGTCATATAAATTTGGAATGTGACTAATAGAAGCAAACAGAAACCAACAAGAAATAATACTTTACAACCCTACTCTCTTATCTAACTTCAGGGCCAATACTTTGACAGATAAGATAGCAGAGCATTCCTCTATTTCATTTTTACCAAGTAAAGCCACATTTTCAGCTCTGACAAGTGCAAAGGATTCTTTTCAATCATCCAAAATAAGAAGGATCATTTGAGTAGTAGATTATATGTACTACTTATGAACCTCATTATTTAGTTATTATATATCTCTACCATCTCCAACCTCCTTTACTAGAAAATTGATTTTCCCAAGTCTCAGCATTAGCTCTGTATCATTGGTGCAGGTGCAATGTAGAATTCGTTCAGAGAAGGTATTCCACGTACGGTAATGGAGGTATGAAAAGATTTGACACGGGCAGAATCATAGGAAGCAGAAAGAGAGAGGAAATTGGCAGTAAATGGACCATGGGTATGTATCCCGACCCAAAGATTGTCAAGGGGTGAATCTCTATTTAACTGCCTTTCCTCTTTGGAAAAACTGCAATTTTGTTCTACTTATAGGCATCCATTGATATTAAGGAGAGCAACTAAAAATTTCTTGCTGAACCGAATTAGCCAGTTGGAGAAGAAATAACCAAGGGGAAATGGGCGGAGAAAGTAACAGCAATCAGCTTAGGAAAGGGAAACACATATCCAAGGTGGGGAGTGTGCTAAAGATGAAGTCTGTCGCTGGGACTACACCTCAACACACACTAAACAACCTCAGCCACCAAGCTACAAAACTTCAAGGATCATAAATAGAACCACTGGGACTCAAGGAGTTCCCTATTCCTTATTTCCAAAGGAAACAAGTATCTACACAAAAGGGTGCATGCATCAAGATAGCTTAAATGAGGGCCAAGGTAATGGAGCATGATGATGGAGACATTTTTTTTATCATGGAGGTAAAAATCAAAATCCAGCAAGTATAGGAGAAACCTCATTGTTGCCCCCAGGTCAATATCTGAGACTAACAGAAGCACATTTTTTTATCTGAGATGTCATTTGAGAGTAACCTCAGATTTTTCAATATCTGAGAGTAACCTCATTTTTTTTATCCTAGAATGGGATATCATTTCAGTATAACAGAAGTACCTCAGAGGTTTACAAGAGCGCAATTAGGAGAAATTCATTCTTGGACTACTAAATCAAGTTCTTGAAGCAGGATAGGGCCGATAGGCACCAATGCAAAAGGTCAAGTGCCAAGCTACACAAAAGAAATAGAAGCCTAGATCTTTATAAAGCTTCCTGACATGATTGTTACAACCCAAATATGTATCCAGTTTTCTTCTTGTTACAAGCCAAATATAGTTCCTATTTCCTTGTATTAAATGAAAAAAATTTTGTTAGATCAAATATTCCCATCCATTCAATGGAAGTCCCAAGTATCTTTCACCCCCTGATCATGTGGGGCAAACAAGAAGAATTGTCGCAAATATGTATTATGATGATAGTATTCACATAGGTAATACCACAGAAAGAAACAGAGAGGCTTCACTTTAAGTTCAGTGCTGTGATCAAGAAACATCACTGTGAAGTTACAAAGGCTTCACTTTAAGCCCAATGCTAATCATAAGGTTTAACTGAAAAGTACACACGTAGTACAATTTACTGAAAAATACCTGATATGAGAGAGAGAGATTCAAAATCCTCACTCCTTTCAGTCCAAAAAAAATTCAAAACATGCCAGTACACCCTTCAAATCAACCCAAATTTAATCAATTATATTTTACAACTTCCAGCAAACAAGCATACATGATTACATTTCCACCAACAGCAACGGAAACAACAGCATTTGAGTCCAAAACACCCCCACCCCAACCTACCAAAAAAAAAAAGGCATAATAACTCTACATCAATCGCTAACCAATAAGGAAGACTAAAAATCCATGACCCAATTCACCATCTATAGCAAGAAAGTAAATACTTGATTACAATGCAGTTGAGAACACCAAAACAACACGTGTAGCTGTAAATCAATGAATTTCCAATAAGAACACTAAACCCAAAATCCAATTCATCACTTACACCAAATCAAACTAAAGCAACTGCAGAATTACAAGTTACACATGAATCAGATAAACAAAATGAATCAATGAATTTCCAAAACACTAAACTCAAAATTCAATTCATCACCTAAACTAAATTGCACTAAAGTAACTGCAGAATTACAAGAAATAAATGAACCAGACAAACAGAGTGACAAAAAGACTAACCTTGACCAAATTGGGATCAAAGACGACGTCGGCCTTGTTCTGAAGCAAAGCCACAGAAGCCCGTAAGACCCCATCGACGGCCATGAGCGCTCCTTCAACCGAATTCGAACACGCCGCACAGGTCATCCCCGTGACTTTCACTTGAATTCTCTTCTCACGAACATCCTCAGAACCCACCAATTTCTCCGAATCACCATCTTCGTAAGAATCGAGGAGCCGTACGTCTTCGAGTTCGTCCCCGTTCTCGTCGGCGAAATTATCCGGCTGTCTCCGGCGGCCGCCGGACGACCCGGAGGCCGTGAGCTGGAGGTCTCTGAAACTCGGCGCCATTGAAGGAACCGAGGAGAGACCAGAGAAATTTCGAGAGAGAGAGAAGAAACGATAGGAGTTGGATAGAAAGAAAATCTAGAGAGGGAAAATTAACAGAGAAAGAATCTGGAGAGAGAAAAATCAAGAAGGGAGGATGTTTCCGAGGGACATGGTAGAGACAGCAATTTTGTATTATGCCAGTGCTGGTGGTGGAAGGGCAGGTAGAGAGAGAAAACGAAAGAGAGGAGAGAGAGAGTTTTGAATTACCAGATTTAGCCATGTGGATTTCTCAAATTGTCTATTTGGTCCTCTGTACTACAGCGTTTTGTACTGCACGTATTAGAAGAGAAGACCACGTCAACATATATACGTACACGTTGAGTTAATTACGATTTAGAATTTTTTAAAAGCATTAAATTATTAATTTTAGATTAATAATTCTAATTATAAAAATAAATAAATAAACAATGCACAGTAAAAAGTTTTTCAAAGAAAACACATCAACAATTCAGTCGGTGTTGAAAGGTGGATACAACAACAATGCTACCTGGGTGAGTTTGTTGCTCTCCCTTCTGCCCACGTGGATCTCATGTGTTACCATGTGTTTTTTTACATTTTTTATTTTTTAAATCAAAATAACTAGAGTAAAGAAAATATATATATATATATATATATATATAAATAAAGTATTGAAGAAGGACTAAACCCCTTGAAATAGTATTTTGCATATGACAAAACTAGTTGACTATTTTGTATTATGCATCTCACTTTCTCATAAGAATTGAATTTTTATTTTCCACTTCCGACATTCAATAAAAAAATAACCATTTTTCTTACTCTAATGTATTTTCTTTATTATAGATGTGAAATTAGAACTATCACTTTATTTCTTTTTCTGTAGACATTATACAAACAATATTAAATGCTAACATTATTTGTTTTGTTATTTATTTTTTGTCCTATAAAATTTATTTTTTCTTTTTTTATTATAAGTCATTTATCCTATAATATTTAATTTTTATAATTATTTATAATAATTTCATGTTAACTTTATAGGAAAATGATTGTTGCACCAAATAGTTACAGTGAATTGCTAGACCTACTCTTTTAATTGGTCAATTATGTAATAAATAAGGAAATGGAGTCCTCCACTTAATTATATTTAGTATAAATAAGTAATTAAAAATTATTCGTTTAGACAATTCAGTACAAGTGTTCCGTGTGAATATATTACTCTTACACATAGTAAAATGATTCTTGTACTGAATAGTTACAGTGAATTGTTAGACATACTCTTTTAATTGGTTAATTATGCAATAAATAAGGAAGTGGAGCCCTCCACTATTTGGTTATATAATTCACAGCAAGTATTCCGTATGAGTATATTAGACTCCGTTCGTTTAGGTGTAAAATATTTTATATTTTATATTTTTTTTTAGTGTTTGGTTGTCGTAAAATATTTACGAAAAAAAATATTAAAACTTAACAAAAATAACTTACTCATCAATTCTAGCGAGTTATTTTATAGACGTCTTGCCAGATGGACTCGACCTCAATCTTAACCTAAACCTAAACCTTTGCCTAAACACTAAAAAATAATATATATATATATATATATATATATATATATATATATATATATATATATATATAATACCGAAAAATTAAAAAAATTACAAAAAAATTATTTTACGTCAAAATAAACGAGCCTCGGTAATCAAAGTATCTGTAAATCTTTCTTTATACATGTTTATTGTCTGATAACATTCAAGTATCTTATCACTAACCCATGTGACTCCCGAAATATTTATTTCTTACACTATCTTTTTTAATCACTCCTATCATTCATTTTAACATTTTTAAAATAGTTTACTTAAAAACCATATATTCAATAAAATTATCTCCCCTATTTGAGGGAGAGCAGGGTATATTCGGAATTGTGGTTCGTTAGGATTTGGTGGAACAGAAAAGCAAATCCTTGGTGAGGATAGAAGTTGTTTGCCAAACAACGCACTCTTCGTGGCAGACACGGCAGCCGTCAAATGCCAATTGCAAGGGATAGAAGTTGTTGAAGTAGTTTCTCAAATAATATCTGTTTGGATGCAGACATGGAAGTGTCCTCAAGTCGAGTGAGATAAGGACAACCTCACCCTGGATTAATTGTTAGTCCAAAACACATGAGATATATTTTATTGTTAGTGATTGGGATGAATCTTTTTTCTCGTTATTTTCTTCTATATACGCTAATAATTTTGATATAAAAGTAAAAAGAAAAAACTATATATAAGTAGTTATTTTTTAATTTGATTGAATCAAATTAAATAATTAAAATATCAAAATAACTTTCTTATAATCATATAATTTCAAACTACCAACAAAATTAGTAAACTTTGGAAACCTTGCTTAATAATAATAGTTGATATTAAGGTGTTAAATTTATGTCCAAATATGGAATTATTTACTGACATTAGAGAGGTAAATTACGGCCAAAAGTTAGGCATTTACCAAAGTTGAAATAAAAGGTGTTATTTACTATAAAATATAAGTTAATTAAGATCTTGAGTCCATAATAAGGCACGATCAAGAATGTCATGTAAATACTTGTAAGATAAAAATAAATTACTTAAGAATAAATTTATACTTCGAACAAAATTAGCAATAGTTGTAGAAAATTTAGATGAATTCCCTGATCTATTAAGTAGGCAAATGACATCCATCTACCTTTTTTGATTCATACAAGAACTTTTCTATTTTAAGTTGGAACATAAATTTAGAAAATACATACATGCATGTACATACATACATGCATACATAAATATATATATATATATATATTAGAGCAACCTTTTAGATGTCATCACCAAATAAGGAAAGGCTTTACTGGAAGATGAATCATTGGATTTTATCTCCTCCATAAAAGTAAAAGATGAGTTATCATTATTTTTTGAACAAAAAAACTTAACAGGTTAAGGTATTTGCATCACATTCTTGAACACCTTTAATAAATATCTAAAACTTTGCTAGTCAAATTAGTTCTCAATTATCTACTTTAATATTATATAATTATATAATTTTAAAAAGGATATTTGAGTATTTTGGAATAAGAGCTTAGAGGGCATTTTGGACCTCATCATCCATCCCTTCCATTCAATTTTTTTCTTTCTTACTAAACAGAGCATTTGTGGCTAGTCAAATTAATTCTCAATTCTCAATTATATAATTATATAATTTTAAAAAAGATATTTGAGTATTTTGGAATAAAAGCTTAGAGGGCATTTTGGACTTAACAACAGTTCTTGATGCATTTATAATTATTTTTCTTAATTGAGTCAAAGTGAAAAAATCAACTTTTATAATAGATTAATTTGTTATTTAGTACTCCTAACCATATCTATTTGTAGTTTCCCGAAGTAAAATCATATCTCTTATTATGGATGAATACAATGGGTTGGGTGAGTGCAAATATCATTACTATATTATTAATGCAGAAAGTCAAAGTCAGACACTTCAAAATTCATTAGAAGCACTAATCCACTGAGTTATCGAAGTATCTGTATTTAATTTTTCTTTTAAAAAATAAAATCAGTAATCTTTTTCAGTTATTAATTAGAAATGTTTTGCCTGTTTTATATTATCTCTAACGCTATCATTATGTGTTTAATTAAATACATGTGAATGATTTAGTCATATTTGTTTTGACTTCTTCTGACGTTCAATATATTGAATGACAATTGTAAAAGAATTACTATCTTTGTCCCGATGTAATTGTCGTGAATTATGATGTGAATTACAATTTACAAAATAGATAATTATATTAGTGCGAAAGAATTTGTTTGCTTCGTGAATTATGATGTGAATTATAATTTACGAAATGAACAACTATATTAGTGCGGAGGATGTACTCCGTAATATGTTGGACCCTTAAGTCAACATGGCTAGTTTTTGAGCTTTATTATTTTTAACCCAAAAAAAGGAGGGCATTAGAGCAATATGATCAATCCTACCTGGGGACCTGCTCTGCAAATTGTACACCCAATCATTCCTAGTACAAAAATACCTTTAACTGTGGTGGCAGAAATGTCCATGAAAAATAATAGGAAAATTGGTGTCAATATATTTAAAAAGCATGTCCATTTTGTGGGGACTTTTATTGTTGGAATTGTGACTTCCTTTCCACTAACCAGGACAAAGTTGGAAAAGTTACCCACCGAACACCCTTGGATCATTTTTTTTTTCGGAAGGTAACACGCTTGGATAATTAACGCATGCACATACAATTATTATGAGTTGCATTCAAACCCTTCAATTATTATGAGTTGCATTCTAACCCTTCAATTTTAAATTAATTTTTAACCTAGATCCTTTAAATTTAACACTCCACAGATACCGTGAATCCGTACACCATCGGATTTACTGGGATGTAACGGAACCGAATGATGAGAAAACCGTCTCAAACCAGACAATTCAACTGTCTAACCATGAATAAGATATCATCTAGTATAAAACAATCAATATGATTAAGAGCAGAACTAGTACAATCTTCAATTCCATAGTTAATATCTCACCAAACTTAAAATCAAGTATAAATCAAATTAAAATATAACCTTTGAGATATGTTGAAACACTTCTCCTATTCACCTTCTATAAGGATTATCTTTTTTTTTTTTCTTTGTTTTGCAAAGCATGTTAAGTTGTTCGTTATATCTCGATTAAGTATCATATTGACAAGCAAACACAATGAAGAAGGCGTAACTCCCTTGCAGTAAAGTGGTAACTTGAAGGTGTTTTGTGCAAAAAAAAAAATAATAATAAAATAAAAAATATCTGAAGAGAGTTTAGAGCAAAAACTTGATAGTTAAGGGGGTTTACAGTTTCTCCTAAATTAATTATTCATAACTTTTACAAATTTACACTAGAGTGTGCCAACCTAGTACACTACGAGACTAGTCGAGAAGTATTTGTTTGAATCACTTAAAAACTACATCATTTGATTAGGGGCTTATGTTCCCTCGCATAAAATTGAAATCTTGAAATTCGAAAAAGTAACTCACAAAAGTAAATTATTATATATTTTTTTTTTTCTCAATTCTACAAATTTCAATTCTAAACTTCAATTCCTTACCATCACACATAACCACACAAAATTTGAATTGAACTTAAGCCTTAAACTTTGTAAAATGGGCAAAAAGATTTCTTATTTT